GACGAATATGATCTACATACGTGTTGCTTACATAAGGGATCAAGTGATCACTCAAAATTTCAAACCAAAAGATCCGCCTAACTTTAACTTAGGAATTTTAAATAACGAAGCCGGTTAGACTTAAAAAAAATGGCTATAATCTAAAATGAAAAAACTACATTTGATATTATTATTGTGAATTTTGTTGTAGTGTCTTTACGTGTTAATAAATAACAAAATTGTGCTTTTATATAGGTACATATAATAAAATTCTGAGTCAAATCTATACATTATATATTTTTTGGAAAATCTTATTGAAATAATCATTATTATCGATACAGAGGCCGAATTTATAGTTTTTAGGATTTTTATCTGTCTGTCTGTTACCGCGTCACGAAAAAAATACTGAAGGGATTTCGATGAAATTTGGTATGATGATAGCTGGTTATCCGGGTCAACATATAGGATACTTTTTACTGCGGGAAAATGTCTCATCTATGAGAAATCGATACTAAAGATTACAACGTACTCGTAAGTAAAACTATATAAATGTATTATTACAAGTGTTCATCCAGTAATTATCTTTCTTATTCATAACACTAAAACTCGTCAATAGATATTTAATAAAAAAAATCAGCTGACAGACTGAAGAGAAAGCGGTAATTAATCGGTTTAAAAAAGAGTAGGTACTCACTTTTTATGTACTCGTATGTAAAATTAGTATGTTTATATATTCATGGAATTTATGATGAAAGGTAAAGGTTAGGTTAATATGATATTGTTTGATATTATATAGTATAAAGAAGGAATAAATTATACTAAATATAGTTAAATTTCTCTACTTTTACTACCTAACTAGCTCGGCTCGGGTTCGCCCCTAGTCACTAAAAAAATGGGGGTGGGGGTAGGAGGGTGAATGACATTTTACGACCTATTACCAAAGCTACTAAATATAAAAAAAAAACATTAAAATATAGGTAACAACTATACCTTCAAGACATGTAACACCTCAGTCTCTCCCGTGACCATGGATGCTGTAAAGCATTCGAAACGTCGGGAATCAAAAATCAAAATAAATCCGCGAAATAATCCGAAAAGATAGTTTTATTTATCTATATTAATGTTAAAAATCAAGGTGGGTATTTAAAATAGAGAAAAAAATTGTTTACTGTATTGTTTTTGTCATTTGAACAAAATATAAGCACTAAGGCAACAACAACAAGACAATCTCATTACATTATACAATATGATAATAAAACTATCGCACAAAGAAATTAGCAGCAGCAAAACTTTTAACAAACCGTTTATCATTAATTCAAGACGAAAGTTTAATCCAAAGTACAAGCTTAATCCGAACAATAACATATTCGATTAAGCAATTTATTTAAAAAAAAATTCGTTGATGTTTTTAAAAACTGCTCGACCATCTTTGATAAAATATATATGTGACCACCTGGGAAGTACCTATACCCTTCGAAACTAAAAAAAATCCAAATCGGTTAAGGCGTCTTCGAGTAATCGGTGAACATACATAAAAAAAAGATTCCGACGAATTGAGAACCTCCTCCTTTTTGAAAGTCAGTTAAAAATAACGTCCTATAACTGAAAGTATCGCAGTTATTTCTATGTCTCGTGACACATTTGTGCATCAAATTTAATAATCGTGTCCTAACTGGATAATCGAAATAGAACAAGGTTGCGTAACGTTCGTGAACTCATTTGATATAAAAAAGGGATAGCTTTAAAAATACTGCGGTCATTCGAAATTCGATTACAATGATTTTTTCTTATATTTACGTGAATATTTAAATCTATACATATAATAAAACTTTGAGATGAATCTGTAGATTAAATATTTCTTGAAATTTTTTTTTAAATATTCATGAATCTAGATTGTTTTTAGAATTTTTGTCTTGTCTGTCTGGGAACAAATCACACAAAATCACTTCACAGAATTTGATGAAATTTCGAAAATACGGGTCAATATAAAAAATACTTTTTATGGCAGGAAAATACAAATTCCTCATCTTTGACAAATCTATACTAAACGGTAAAACATAACTAGGGACGAGCGGAGCAAGGGTGAGTGGCTAGTTTTAAATAAAATTTTCATTTTGGATTTTTTTTCAGGATATTTACATTTTTTCGTTACGTGAGAATCTAGCTTTTAGACGTCTCAAAGTAACTACCCACAATTTTAATTTTAAAATTAATTAATACTATATCGTACGTTGTTCCTGCGCACCATTTATTTGTTGATTTACTCATTTGTATATCTCTTTCTGGTGTACAATTAAGTATTATATATCAATCTATCTACTTTGGTGTCATTTTTGTATTTCTCTAGTCTCTACTGTTATTATATTTTATATTTAAACCTAGCGACTCACCCTCACTCCGCTCGGGTTCTTCCCTAATTACGTTCTAACGTTTAGTATAGATTTCTCAGAAATGATATATTTTCCCGCAGTAAAAAGTACTAACCCACGGACCCACATGATCCACATGACCCGGATAGCGAGCTATCATCATACCAAATTTCATCAAATTTATCCAGTGGTTTTTCCGTGATGCGGTCACAGACAGATAGACAAAAATTCTAAAAACTATAGATTCGGCCTCTGTATCGATAATAATGATTTTTTCAATAAGATTTTACAAAAAATGTTTATTGTACAGATTCAGCTCAGTTACAATTTTATTATATGAACATATGTGTAGATTTCCTTACGAATTACAATTATTATTAGATATTTAACTATTCTAGCGTGTATCAAGCACATGAAATAGGTTTCAAATTTTTGTTATCAAATATTACTAAAAGTGCACTTTAAATTCTCGTCGCATTTGATTCTGTGAAATATAAAAAAAAACTTATAAATTTATGGCCAGAAATGACGTTAACTCATATTGTTTATTAATAATTATAAAATTAATTTAATTGGTTATTATAATACGCAATATATTTTTAGTTTTATTAAATTTTACCGCTAACTTAAATTGATGTTAAAAGCTTAAAAGTTCATGATCCTATAACAAAGTAGAACAATATTTAAATCCAATCTATTTTCAACGCGTCCATCAAACTTTATATTTGAAATGATTGGATTGTTAATTTATTTTATGAAGTTTTATTTGTTCATAATATGACGTGACGACGACACGTTTGGCTCAGTTAATAGTGACCCTTCTTGCTTTGCGGTCGCGGGTTCGAGTCCCGATGGCATCCGTTTGTGTGTACTCCAGTCATGGGTGTTTATATTGTATATATTTAATGTTATATATATATATATATATATATATATATATATATATATATATATATATATAATATAGTGTATCAAGTATCTGGTATCCATAACATAAGCCTCGTAACTTACTATGGAACTAGATGGTGCTGTGTGTTAATGTTCCAACATATTTATTGAGTCCCAACATATAATATTTTTCATAATGATTTTCTTAACACGTCCATTTTCATATTTGTTTACTTTTATAAGAATGGATGGAAATAGAAAGATTATTTTAATTCGTAAATGTCATTTTATCTTCACTTTAATAGTGAATTAATGAACAAGATATTAAAAATTTTAACACTCAAGCGTTATCTATCAAGTTGACGATAAAAACATGTCAGAGATAATAAAGTAATAACTTCTCACTCTGTTATCCGTTTGTCCTTCTTTCACGTCGAAACTGAGTGATTGAATTGCGTGATTTTTTCTGTGGAGATAGTTGGAGGATTGGAGACTGACATAGGCTACTTTTTACCGCGGGAGATTATCTAATTCGAACGGGAAAACACGTTATAATACAATTCAAAACATATTTATCATCAGAATTGCTTGAAACTCGGTATGAATGCTCTTCAATAAAATTAAATGAAATATACAATATGTTTTAGAATTTTCGAAATGTATCCTATAAGGGAGTAAAATAAAGGAAGAAAGTAGGTACTTTTTTAGAGATTTTTCTGTAGTTTTAGCGCAAGCAAACCCGCGGGTTCTGCTAGTTTGTTATAAATTTCTATAAGATATTTAAATTACTTCTTAAAAAGTAAGATAGATGTCAATGAATAAAAATAACATGTAAACCGTATAAAAGACTAAAATAGGCTATTTTTTTTTAACTTAGGCTTGTCTGACAATTTGTTTATTATCTACATAATACTAAATAATCAACTATATTAATTTTTAACCCCCGACGCAAAAAGAGGGGTGTTATATTGTAATTAAATCGATTGTCATCATGTGAGCCAAAACTATTTAAAACACTTACATGATGTGCCACTTGAATTTATTAGTCTGGTACATATTATTATGTTATAATCGTATCATATTATATAAGATAGCGACTCACCGTCGCTCCGCTCGGGTTCGTCGGATTAGATATTTTCATGCAGTAAAAATTATCTATACATATAGTAAAATTCTAACAAAGCCGAATCTGTACATAAAGCATTTTTTTTTGGGAATTTTATTGAAATGGTCATTATGATCGATACAGAGGCCCATTCTACATTTTGATGATTTGGTATAGTGCTGGTTATCCAGGTCAACATATAGGATACTTTTTACTGCGAAAAAATATCTCATCTTTGAGAAATCTATTCTAAACGTCATAACGTAAGCAGGGACGAACCCAAGCGGAGCGAGGGTGAGTCGCTAGTCCTAATTTATAATATTAACCCGGATGACCAGCTATCATCATACCAAATTTCATCAAAATCTGTTTAGTGGTTTTCTCGTGATACTGTCACAGACAGACAGAGAGACAGACCGACAAAAATTCTAAAAACGATAGCTTCGGCCTCTGTATTGATAATAAAGACTATTTCAATAAGATTTTCCAAGAAAAATTTAATGTACAGACTCGACTAAGTTAGAATTTTATTACATGTACTTAATATTATTTCCTATTTTGTAATCTGGAACTACAAGTTTGATTAGTTTTTTTTTGCCAATTACACAAAAGGAAATTGGCTATTTATTTGTAAACTTAGAAAGGTTTTAGACTATCTGATGTTCTCCTGGCCGATTCCGGCCACGGCGGCCAATCTCATTGAGACTAGCCAACTGCGCAGAAGATATTATAGTGCTCAAGTGTACGCGCAGACACAGGTGTACTCTCTTTTCCTATCTTCGTCGTCGTCGTCTTATTATATGTGGGACGACTGTTCGACACGACCGGTGAGAGTTAAGTCGCAGGACCGACAGCTTTACGTGCTCTTCGAGGCACGAGGGTGAAGCACCGCCAACTTCCCAACTCCGGGCTGTTACTGAGGCTTACTATACAGAAAGACTCAATAACTTAACTTGGCCCGACCCGGGACTCGAACTCAGGACCTCCGGGTGTGCAGCCGTACATGCGAGCCACTACACTACCGAGGCAGTTAGACTATCTAAGGTAGTGGTAGCTCAGTAGGTAAGGAGGTAGTTGTCGCATCTCTGATATTTTCGTAATCCCCAAAGCATTGAAGTGAGATCCCTTGCCTAGCAGTGGGACGTTAAAAAGGACTGAATATAATACAAGACTGAATACAATACAATACAACAGGCTCTCAAGCACCATATGAGCTTTAGCCTTTTCGTTTGATACGCATACTGTACCTATCTGAAACATAACTTTACTTTGAATTGCAAGTGACAGACATTGCAATATTACTGTATCTTATTAAACCAGATATTATAATTCATTATATATTTGGCATTCAATGATCTGTATTACTGTTTATATATAGTTTTTATTTCATATAAATTAAAAAGTTTAAGAACTCTTATGTAAAAAATATTTATATTTTAAGTAACAACCCTTAAAAAGTAAAACACTTAATCGAGTAATCATACGCCAAAATGATTTAAAATATTTTGGAAAAGAGCTGATACTCTTACACTGCAGGACTGATATTAACTAAACATAGCTGAAAACCATCGCAAGGAAACTGACTTTCAAATAAAAAAAACCGCATCGAAATCGGTTCATCCATTTAAAAGCTACGATGCAACAAACAGACAAACACACACAGGCAGATAAAGAAACATCATATTCAAACTTTTCAAACAATTTCAAACACATTAAAAACACGGGTTAAAAATATATATATCTTAAATTTTAAAATTATAAATATAAGATTCTTTTCATTGGCTTGCCTTCTTTTGAACAACCTTACTGGTCTATCCCGTATACTTCGACGTGCATCGAAAGTTTAACAAAAATTTTCTTCGCAATTTAACTTCAACCTCACGTATTAAAATTGAAGTATAGTACAAAGTTCCAAGATTAAACCGCGAGATAAAATGATGAAAATCAATCGCTCTTCATGTATCATATTTTGATATGTTCACTAAGAAATACTTTGTGTTTTTCCCCATAAACTATATTTTCTAAAACAAATATATAAAAAAATATTATGAACATACCAAAATATCAGATTTCATCATTAATCAAGATAAAATTTGACTTTTACAGTTTCTCTTTTGATTGTATAGCATTTACGTTTTTTTATGTAGACATTTATATATACTATTTACATTCAAAATTGATAGCCTGTTATAGAAAGTTTATACTTTAATACCACTAGCGGCCTCACTCTCGCTTCCCTCGGGTTTGCCTCTAGAAAAACAAAACCAAATCTATCCTACGGGAACCGTACATTTTTCCGAGATAAAAAGTAACCTATGTGCTATTTAAGACTATAAAATCTATATCTGTGCCAAATTTCATCCATATTCGTTCAGCCGTTCTTGTGTAATTTATTAACAAACATTCAAACATCTAAACTTTCACACTTATATAGTGGTAAGATTTGCTAACAATAAAAATATTTAAATAATTAATTAATAAAATATTAATAGTTTCTGTACATCATGCAGCCAAAGTTATATTATTTTAAGTACGAGAATTATGTTAAAGAGAAGAAGCGAGGGTGGATCGCTTTTAACAAATAACACTATCTTAATGTACTTTAAAACGTATTTAGATAACTAGCATTGCCCGCAACTCCGCGCGCGTTCAGATGACCAAAAATTAATTCTTACGTTTTATATATTAGTATACTCTTACAAAGCAGTTTTTGTATTTTTTCTCAGAAATGAGACATTTTCCCGCGATAAAAAGTACCCTATATGTTGACCCGGATAACCAGCTATCACCATACCAAATTTCATCAAAATCCCTCCAGTGGTTTTTCTGTGATGCGGTAACAGACAGACAGACAAACAGACAGACAACAATTCTAAAAACTATAAATTCGGCCTCTGTATCGATTCTTCGAATGTCTATTTCAATAAGATTTTCCAAAAAATATTTAATGTACAGATTCGACTTAGTTAGAATTTTATTATATGTATAGATTATTAAATAATCAAGTATTAGTTTGAAAATATCAAAGCAATGTCGAAGCTGCTTAATTAACGAAACTATATAAACTATTTATGTTTGAAAACAGAGTTAACCTTCTATTAAATTAAGCTCTATAGATGTTACTGTTGCCCTCGACGTTATTCAATTGACACCGGTATTTGGAATACTAGTTTTGGAGCAAATGTCCTTTACCTAATAGAATTAACAGATCAAATATTAGTTAAATTCTGAATAAATAATGAATGGTATTCCCATTTTAATGAGTTTCATTAGATTCGATTGTTAGAACACACATACATTCAACCCGAAACAGTACGGAACAGAAATCGAACTCACAGTCTCCTGATTCTAATAATAATGTCCTAATCAATTATAGTTTTGCTGGGTAATCTCAATGCTCGATCCGTGATCCGTGACCGATAGCTCGATGTTCTCTATGAGATTTGTCAACTTACTAGTTCTGGGCTATTCAGATTGATAATCGAACTTAGGACCCCGTTATCTATATCCATATGTACTAGCGAGCTACTAGACAACGAGGTAGATAAAATACTCAGATAGTTGTTACAAAACTGACATAATGATCAAAACTTTCAAAGTTTCTCAATGAAAATATATAAATGATTTTATAAAATAAAGAATATACCTACTACTCGTATTGGATAATTTAATTTTACCTAAAAATAATGTTTTAGTATTTAATATTGTTATATGTGTTTTAACGTCCCACTGCTAGGCCCTCCGTTCTACAGGAGTAGGATCAGGCCATAGTCCACGCTGATCAAGTGTGAGATGGCAGACTCAAGGTATCCTTCGAAAACTTGCTAGGCTCTCTGACTAAAGATTTCCTCACAGCGTTTTCCTTCACCGTAAGACAAGCGGTAATCATGTTGAAAATGACACGAACATTAGAACTTCAGAGGAGCAAGACCCGGGATTTGAACCCACTTTACAAGATTTCCTAAAGAAACGCGTTACCACTGGTCCTTTTCTAAAAATAAGAATAGTAATAATAAATAATTATATATTTTTATTACCATAATATTGACATCAAAACACTTAACAAGGCAAAACAATGGCCAAACACGCGTGTCATACATGAAATTTCAATGTTACAGTCTAATTTTAAATACAAGTAGCCGTATCGCTCTGCCAAAGTTTGTACAGATTTGACAGATACGAGAACGTGGTTTATAATTAAATTAGAGGAGCATTGCCAAGGACCGATTTCGCGGAACGATTAATCATTGTTTGTTAACATTTTTCTCGTTTATAGTAACAAGGCATATATTATGTACTCATAAATATCTAGGCAGTGGTAGCCCAGTGGTAGTGGCTCGCTTGGGAAACCGAGTGAAGCGGGTTCAAATCTCGGGTCTCGCATCTCTGATATTTACATGTGCGAATCATTTCCAACATGATTACCACTTGTCTTACGGTGAAGAAAAATATCGTAAGGAAACCTGCATGTCTGAGAGAACCTTACAAGTTTTCAAAAAATATGTGCAGTCCGCCAACCTGCACTTGGCCAGCGTGGTGAACTATGGTTTGATCCTCTTTGTATTGAAGGCTCATGCCCTGTAGTATAAAGGGCTGAATACAAATATCTGATCTGCTTTTATTAGCTGAAAATGGTCATCAGAGGTAAAATTATCCATGATAAAGTATTATAGTAAAGTATTTTAATGAAGTTTTTTCTAATAATAATAATTAACAATTATTTATAATTTAACAAATATTATTATTATAAATTCAGAATTTTAAATTACTTTTATAACACTTTCATCTATAATTCAATAATGAGTTTCTTATTACGTAAAATAAATAACATTTAATCATTTTATTAAATTAAATAAAATTATTACAGTCTAATTGTTATGGAATGATAGTAAGAGGGCTATATGGAAATTAAATTTAAAATTTAATAATATAGTTTACATTCAAATATTAAAATTGCTTTTGTTTTAGACATAATATTATGGTCCTATAAATATCTTCTGCCAATACACTTATTAAATATTCGTGATTTGTAATCTCGCCATGGGCGAGACGTAAGGCAGACAGGCTGCTTCAGAGCACTCTAACGAATGCCAGCACTCGCTGATTGATCTACATCTATGGATCTGTATTTAAAACTGTTTAATGTCAACGTGATATGTACTGTATTCTATTTCATACTTCATTTTGTTTAGTCAAATAAGCTTTAAATATGCTTCATCAAAGTCTAAGTTGTACTTAAATCGAATCCTAACCCCGTGACCACAATGTCATAAGTGCTTCTGCTATATAGTATAGACTAGCATTGCCCGCGGCTCCGCCCGCGTTCAGATGACCGAAAAATAAATTCTTAGGTTTTACATATTAGTAGGTATACTCTTACATTGCAGTTTTTGTATTTTTTCTTAGAAATGAGATATTTTCCCGCGGTAAAAAGTATTCTTTATGTTGACCGGGATAACCAGCTATCAGCATACCAAATTTCATCAAAATCCCTCCAGTGGTTTTGCTGTGATGCGGTAACAGACAGACAGACAAAAATTCTAAAAACTATAGATTCGGCCTCTGTATCGATAATAATGTCTATTTCAATAAGATTTTCCGAAAAATATTTAATGTACATATTCGGCTTGGTTACAATTTTATTATATGAATAGATAATTTTCTAATATTAAACGCTTTTCGATATTGAGATCTCTCCAAAACCGTTTACTTAGAATGATCTTCTTTCGATAATGCAAATAGTAGTACACCATTACACCCAACTTTAAATATTCCACGTTTGATGAATCAATATATTTTAAGTTTGGTCACGCTCTTGGTCTTTTTTTGTCGCGCATATATTACAAATTTTTCTCAGACTAAGAAATAATAGAGACAGCGT